GGAACTAACAACAATAACTACAAGAATGAAGGAAATTTCTAAGATTGTGATTATTAAACAACTTTTCCTAATTTGATTAGACTATTGGATTGTATGATTGGTTACTTATATGCTGATAAAAAAAATACTGGCCAGAAGAATCCAACAATGTGTCAATAAAAATAAAATAAAACCACACACCATGATCAAGTGAGACTCATACAAGGATAGTTTAACAGAAAAATAATTAACGTAATACACCACATAAAACAGAGAGTAAGAACCATATGATCATAGTTATGGATACAGAAAAGGCATTTGACACTATCCACCTCCCATTCCAGATAAAACCACTGAGCAGAAAATAGAAATTTCTCAACAAATAAAGGTCATATACGCGATACCAACGACCAAGATCATGCTCAACAGAGAAAAGCTGAAAGCATTCTTCTTGCAAATGGGAACCAAACAAGGATGTCACTTATCACCACTCTTATTCAGTACTGGAAGTCTTAGACAGAACTACTAAACAAAAATAAATCAAAGAAGAGAGAAGCAAAGAAGAATTTAAACAAAACCAGGGTATCCTGGATGATTTAGTATCTGGAAAGGTGTGTGCCAGGGGTGTACCCTTCCCTCCACCTAGTCCATTTGTAAACGGAGCAAATCATCCAAGAAACTGGACTGGAGGAGGAGCTTGACATCAGGACTGAAGGCTTACTAACCACCAAGGACTTGAATACTTGCTAATAAAAATAAAGGACTGCACCTAAATGTAAAGAAAACCCAAACCCTCACTGTTAGAACCACAGATAACGTCGCAATAAAGGGAAAAAAGATGGAAGTTGTGACTTTATCTCGCTTTGATCCACAACAGTCCAACCACAACAAAACTTTTAAGTGTCGGTTTTTATATCTGTTCCTCGAGTTATTCGAGGCATTGATCCCAAAATATGTATTGGGTAGACCGCATCACCTTGTTTCTCATATATGGCTGCATTTACAAACCTTGAGTCTGCGCTTTAAAA